AATGGCTTTTCTTTCTTCCTCTTCTTAACATCCTTCCTTTCCTCCTCTTCTTAACATCCTTCCTTTCCTCCTCTTCTTAACACCCTTTCTTCCCTCCCCTTCTTAACGTCCTTTCTTCCCTTCTCTTAACATCCTTCCTTTCCTCCTCTTCTTAACATCCTTCCTTTCCTCCCCTTCTTAACGTCCTTCCTTTCCTCCCCTTCTTAACGTCCTTTCTTTCCTCCCCTTCTTAACGTCCTTTCTTTCCTCCCCTTCTTAACGTCTTTTCTTTCCTCCTCTTCTTAACGTCCTTTCTTTTTTCCTCTTTTTAATGTCCTTCCTCTTCTTAATGTCCTTTCTTTCTTCTTCTTAACATCCTTTCTTTCTTTCTGTCCTTTTCTAATCATCTCCTCCATCTTTTAACCAAACATCTCATCAGTTAATCCATTTCTACCTGTGAATCAAAATCTTTTCTTAGTCCTTTACATAGTCATAAGAGTTGAACTCAGTGAGGATCAAACTCTCTACACTAGTTGTCCTTAAGATTAGCTTTCTAACCACAGCTCTGTACAGTAGGTACACAATTTACATTTACAACTTAAAAAAACAAAATAGCTCTGTCAAAGGAAGAACACTAATACTAAATAAAAAGGTTCTTTATTTCATGATGGAGAGATTTTGAAAGATTTGTGAGATATTCAGTGAGACATGGGAATCACTGTGTAACTTGTGATATTTGTTAAAATTCTCTCAACTTTTAGAATAGTTCATTGAGTTCTTGATTTTTTGGTGGGAGGTGTATATTTAATTTTATTTTTCAAGAGTTATCAAAACTCTCTTTGGAAATGAATACTTCTGCATGGAATGAGCTTACAAACAAGGCAGTAAAGACACTAAGTGTAAAAGAATAAGAAAAAGAGAAACATTATTAAGGAGTGAGAAGAATAGATGAATAATCAAGAAGACATAATTGATAATGATTGAAATTGGATTTGAATATTTGAAGATAAAAGTTGGCAGGAAAGCATTTAACCTGATGAGAATTCCTTAAATGAAAAGTACAAGAAGAGAAACTGTTAGCATAGAACATTTGGTTACATCAAACCAAATGATCTGTGAATTAATGAGTCCTTATGACCAATCTAGTACTGTGCTTAAATTAATAAAACCTAGATATCATCATGAAGAGATCACCCAAACAAAATACCTTGAAAGTATTTATAGAAAAGGCACAGGGAAGCAACATTATGACAGTGGGAACTGAAGCCGAGATGCCAGATCAGAACCAATAATATTACTGATTCTTCTTTGGATTTCATCAAGAATCTCTAAATATATACCATGAGCATTGGACCATATGTGGCAGCAATATTCAAAGCATGGATAAATGGTAGACTTATAGAAATGTAAGATATATTCTGGAGATAAAAATTGTCTAGCATGGCACAATGAACCAACTTTCTTAGCAGCTGACCTAACAGTGGATTTATTATAATCTTTCCATTTCATGTCAGTCCTGAATGTTAATCTGCGATTGAGAAGGTGCAACAAGTCACTCTCCTGGAGGTTAGCATATATATATATATATATATATATGAAAATTTCTCCGATTTAATCGGTAGAGAAGACAATATTTATGAATAAAATGACAATAGGAAAACTGGTAATTGCTGTTTCGCAATTGACTAAGACCACATTGACAAAAGTTACCATTATTATGTTTCGTCCAATGTGGACTAAGTCCACATTGGACGAAACACATCAGCAATTACCAGTTTTCCTATTGTCATTTTTATTCATATATATATATATATATATATATATATATATTTTAAGAAATTTTTATGTTTAACATTCTTTTTATAGATACAAATATTTAAGTAAATGCTCTGTTTATAATACACAGTATTAAACAACATTTACCGGCCTATAATATATATATATATATATATATATATATATATATAGTGTAACCCGGATATAAGAGATTTTTCTGCTCCCAAATTAGAGCCTGTGTTAATGTATGTAAAATAGACCAAACCGGATATAAGAGACTTCTTCTCCAGTCTCGACAACTCTCTTATATCCGGGTTACACTGTATGTATATATATATATATATATATATATATATATATATATATATATATATCCACATACACACACACAAACACATTGGTGGGATACAAAATTCTTAGGAATGGATTCTCTCTTCTTTTACATATCAAATTTTTGTCTGTTAAAATAGGAGCTATTTTTTCGTGGATGTATCTAAATTAACAAATAAGTTCTAGAAACTTGTATCATTTTAGTAGGAATTTAGTAGTTTTCTTTCTGAACCTTTCTATTTTTATGTACTTTATTCATTTTCTAAAAAAAAAGCAGGTTATTCATTAATGAGTATTTTAATTTCTTTCGATTTTTCATTTCTTATTGGTTTCATCCAGTTCACACTCTTCCCCAGTCTTTTGAACAAGAACAAATGTTTAATCCTTGTTTCCCCTTTAAAATTCTTTCTAGTGTCTTCTCATTCTCTTTCACTCCCAGTGATTCTTTGCATCTTAGTCGAATTATCACCTTGTTTGGGGTGAATTGATTATAATAAATAAATATCAAGAAAGACAAAAAGGAAAAAAAAAATAATAGCCATGAAAGAAAAAGGCAAGCTCTCTTTCTCTCATATTCTTTCTCGGTTCTCAATATTAAAATCTATGAAATCAAAAACTAAAAAAAGTAAACATGAAATTAGTTTTGTTTGTGCCCTTCTCAGATACACTTGATATTTTTTCTAGCACGGCAAATAATATTCGTCACGTATTTGATTGATTAATAGAAAAAATATCAAATGAGACGAAGTAAGAAAAAAAAAAGAGAGAAAAAAAAATAGTTAAAAAAAATTCCAGAGAACTATATCATTATTACCTTCTAGAATTGTTAGTCATTTTTGTGTTCATTATCATAACAGAGAGAATAAAAAGAGAGGAAGAAATAGGAAGAATGAGAGAGAGAGAGAAAAATAAATAGAGATAAATGGTGAATGAAAGAGAGAGAAAAATAAATAGGGATAAATGGAGAATGAAAGAGAGAAAAAAGGTAGAGGAAAATAAAGAGAAAGAGAAAAGGTAGAGATAATAAATCATGATAAAGAGAGAATGAAAGATTGAGAAAAGGTAGAGAAAAATAAAGAGAGAATGAAAGATTGAGAAAAGGTAGAGAAAAATAAAGAGAGAATGAAAGAGCAAGAAAAGGTAAAGAAAAAAGAGATAAAGAGAGAATGAAAGCGAGAAAAAAAACAGATAAAGAGAGAATTAAAGAAAGAGAAAAAGGTAGAGAAAAATAAAGAGAGAATGAAAGAGTGAGAGAAAAAAGTGATAAAGAGAGAGTTAAAAGACATAAAATATAAAGTGGGAATGAAAGAGAGAGAGAGAAAAGGTAGACAAGAATATAGATAAAGAGGGAATGAGAGAGAAAAGGTAGAGAAACATGCAGATAAAGAGAGAATGAATGAGAGAGAGAGAGAAAAGTTAAAGAAAATAGTGATAAAGAGAGAATGAAAGAAAGAGAAAAGGTAGAGAAAATAAATTGTGATAAAGAGATAATTAGAGAGAGAGAGAGAGAAATAATAGAGAAAATAATGATAAAGAGAGAAAAGTTAGAGAAAAATTGAGATGGAGAATGAAAGAGTGAGAAAAAGTAGAGAAAAATAGTGATAAAGGGAAAATGAAAGTGAAAAATAGAGATAAAGAGAGAATGAAAGAGAGTGAAAACATAGGGATAAAGAGAGAATGAAAGAGAGAGATAAAAGGTAGAGAAAATAGAGATAAAGAGAGAATGAAAGAGAGAGGTAAAAGGTAGAGAAAATAGAGATAAAGAGAGAATGAAAGAGAGAGATAAAAGGTAGAGAAAATAGAGATAAAGAGAGAATGAAAGAGAGAGATAAAAGGTAGAGAAAATAGAGATAAAGAAAGAGAATGAAAAGAGAGATAAAAGGTAGAGAAAAATAGAGATAAAGAGAGAATGAAATAAAGAGAGATGAAAAAAGGTAAAAAGAGAAAATAGAGATAAAGAGAGAATGAAAAGAAAGAGAAAAAAGGATAGAGAAAATAGAGATAAAAGAGAGAATGAAAAGAGAGATGAAAAAAGGTAGAGAAAATAGAGATAAAGAGAGAATGAAAGAGAGAGATAAAAGGTAGAGAAAATAGAGATAAAGAGAGAATGAAAGAGAGAGATAAATTGTAGAGAAAATAGAGATAAAGAGAGAATGAAAGAGAGATAAAAGGTAGAGAAAATAGAGATAAAGAGAGAATGAAAGAGAGAGAAAAATAGAGATAAAGAGAGAATGAAAGAGACAGAGAAAAAGTAGAGAAAAATAAAGAGGTAAAGTGAGGATGAAAGAGTGACATAGATTAAGAAAAGAAGGAATAGAGAGAAAAAAAATACAGTGAGAGAAAGACATGAAAAATTACTAGATCCAATTTAACTTTTTCTATTTATCTTGGAAAATAAAGATCTTGTTATCTACATTCAGCGTTCTTTTCAACAACTGAGGAACCAATCATTCCAGTTTCATATATAAAGAGTTATATATAAAACAAATAAGATAGATAGATCAATTTGTTTTTTTTTACAGCTGATCAACCCTTCTTGGGTTAATTAAAGCCCAAGAATATTTTGGATTGTAGAAGGTAACCTACAGTACCCTGTGTTCGTAAGTTGTCCCCTATCTAAGTACTGACCATAAACAACACTGTTTAACTTTGGTGATTGAATGAGAACAATGTTTTCAGCACAATTTGACTGTAAACCCAGATAAATAGATTGATTGATTTGTTTTTTTTTTTTTTTTTTTTGTAGTTTATCAATTCTTTCTCAGTTATTTAAAGCTCAAGCATATTTTGGATTGTATGAGTTAGTTTACAGTACCTGGTGTTCCCAAGCAGACCACCCCTCTGACCAGGCTTGACCCTGCTTAAGTTCAGTGATCAAATAAGAACTAGCATTTTCAGCATGATTTGACTTTAAACTAAGATAGATAGATAGGAACAGATTGAGATAGATAGATAGATAGATAGATAGATAGATAGATAGATAGATAGATAGGAACAGATTGAGATAGATAGATAGGAACAGATTGAGATAGATAGATAGGAACAGATTGAGATAGATAGATAGGAACAGATTGAGATAGATAGATAGATAGGAACAGATTGAGATAGATAGATAGATAGATAGATAGATAGATAGATAGGAACAGATTGAGATAGATAGATAGATAGGAACAGATTGAGATAGATAGATAGATAGACATATAGATAGATAGGAACAGATTGAGATAGATAGATAGATAGATAGATAGATAGATAGATAGATAGATAGAGACATATAGATAGATAGGAACAGATTTAGATAGATAGATACATATAGATAGATAGGAACAGATTGAGACATATAGATAGATAAATATGAACAGACTGAGACAGATATGAACAAACTGAGATATGAACAGTTTGAGATGGATAGATATGAACAAATTGAGATAGATCAATAGATAGATATGTAAAGATTGAGATAAAAAGATATATATGAACATCTTCAGATAGATATGAAAAATTGAGATAGGTATGAATAGATACAGATAGATGGACAGATATGAACAGACTGAGATCTATTTTTCCTTTTATGTTTTATTTCTTTTCTTTTATCCTTCTTTAATCATTCCTCTTCTATTTGTATTTTCTTTCTCCTTTTTTCATCATTTCTCTTTTTCCTTCTCTTTCTGTTCTACTTTATCTCTCTTAGTTTTCTCTAAATAATCCCTCTGTTTCTATCATCATCATCCTCTTGACTTTTGTAATTGAGTGGGGGGACCCGAATGTAGAAGCCACACTGAATTTCCTCTACAATGGTCACTTTTTCTATCACTTCTTTCAAAATCATTCTCATCTTCTTCTTCATAAAAATCTAATCTGTTCTGTTGAATTCTTTTTATTATAAAATGAATTGTTTTCATTTTTACATTTTCATTTAGGGAAAAAAAAAGTTTCTGATCACCTTTTATGGAATGTAATTAAATTGTTATCCTTTTTAAATGAATTAATTTTGATTTATTTTCAAAAATGAATCAGCTTTGTACAGAGATAAAATAGGATATTTTTTTTTATTTAAGTAAATGAAGTTTATTTAAAAAAAGATTTTTATCTTTTAATTTTCATTTAACTTGTTTATAATGGCATCATGCCAAAGGATTCATGTAAATGAATTAAAACTGTTTGTTGGAATTCACACATTCCAATTTTACTGCTATTATCACAGTTCCTTAATAATAATAATAACAACATTTAAAATAATATATGATATGTAATATATAATAATAATAATAATATTTAAAATAATATATATGATATATAATATATAATAATAATAATAATAATAATAACATTTAAAATAATATATATGATACGTAATATATAATAATAATAATAATAATAATAATAACATTTAAAATAATATATATGATACGTAATATATAATAATAATAATAATAATAATAAAAAAAAACTCATGTTTAAAAAAAAAACGAAAAGCCCCTCCCACTTTGAGATGCAAAAAATGGTGCTGATGAGCAATCTACCAATCTAATATGCTCAATAGCATTCAAAGAAAAACCTCACTTAACTTCAGGCCTCCAGTAAAAAACATGGTGCAATATGGTACCAAATAGCAAATCAAGAAAAAAATGAGTGGGTGCTGATGATGATGATAATAGTGCTGGTGCTGATGATGATAATAGTGCTGGTGATGATGATGATAATAGTGCTGGTGATGATGATGATGATGATGATAATAGTGCTGGTGATGATGATAATAGTGCTGATGATGATGATGATGATGATGATGATGATGATGATGATGATGGTGCTGGTGATGATGATGATGATGGTGATGATGATGATAATAGTGCTGGTGATGATGATGATAATAGTGCTGGTGATGATGATGATGATAATAGTGCTGGTGATGATGATGATGATGATAATAGTGCTGGTGATGATAGCAGCAGCAATAAAAATTAAAAAAAACAACAGTAGTCATCTTTTTCTTCTTCTGAACCCAAGATGCTTCTCTTCATTTTCTTTTTCTTAATCATTTTTCAGACTTCATTTCCTTTCCTCTTTTTTTCCAATCCTTAATCATTCCTCTTCATTCTTTTATTTCCTTTTTCTTTTTTTAATCATTCCTTATTGTTTTTATTTCTTTTTTTCATTCTTTAATCATTCCTCTTCTATTTGTATTTCATTTCTTTTTTCTTTTCATCTCTTCTTTTGTAAGCATTCATTCTTGTCAATTTTTTTCTTCATATTTCTCTTTTTTGCTTTTTCTTCTCCCCCACAGATTTTATTCTTTCATCTTACTTTCATTACACTTTTCCTTACTTTTTAAAACTTTTTCTTGGCCTTCTCTTTTATGCATCTTCTCTCACACTGATTTCTTCATTGACATGGCTTCCCTCTGCCTTTTTCACAACTATTTTCATTTCAATTATTCTGATGAAATTTCCTCCTTGGTACCTTGACTGCATGAATTTAAGTGCAGTACTAGATTGGCAACTAGGTCTCATCATTTTACTGTTGAACTAGGTAGATGCAACTGTTAATATTATTCTAACAGTCACTTTTTCTTTCTTGTGGAACTCCATTCCTATTTCTTGCTTCCCTGACACCTATAATCTTCAATGATTTAAATGCATTTTCTATCTTTCTGAAACCTGAAACCTCACTAACATCTTCTCATTCTCTTTCACTTCCAGTAACCCCTTGCATCTTAGTGGCATTATCGCCATCTTCTGTCCTCCTGAAACCTGTTCTTTTATTGCCCATTCTCCTCACTAAAGCTTTCGCATATATCTTTCACTCCTAGTAATCCTTTGTATCTTAGTGGCTTTATTGCCTTGCTTGGAGTGAAATGTATCTTCTTTTTTTTTTTTTTTACATCTTTGTTTTATTTCTACTATTTGCATGTAACTGCAAAGAATCTGAAATTCATCAAACACTTCAATGTTCTTGATCCTTATTCCACAACTATATTTTTTCCTATTTGAAAATGACTTTGGTTTTCTTTGCTTCATTTTTTCCAACTCGTAGTCCTCCCATCTTTAATTTCTGAAAAAGTGGGTAAAGCTGTTTGCTGGCAATGACATTGTACCAGGGTAATTGATTCGATGCTGCACAGAATTCATTTATTGAAAATATCCACTAATTCAAATCACTCAATTAGAATGAAATGAGGTGGCCATTTCTAGAAAGGGCAGTGTTTCTTGTCAAAGGGGTAGAAAATGAGAAAAATTACAAAAGTTTCTTCTTTTAGGCTTGTAGTATAAGTCTTTTCTTTATCCACAAATACACAGGTTGCAATTACACTAGTGAACTTGATTATGTAAGCTGACAAAACTATATCAAGGAACAAGATGTCTACTCTGTTTATACAAAAGTGTAGGCAGGCATTTTAGCATATTTTAAATATACAATGACACTTTTTCTATTTATATTCATAGATTTATGCCTATGCATATTGTTTTATACGGTACCTATGAACACTAATGGATATGTCCCAATCATCATAAATACATTGGACATTATTACCTACTTCATACCACTGGCAAGTAGTGTATTTTGTTGTTGTTACAAAGATTACCGTTTCATTTCTAACCTCTGTTTTGGTCATTCCTTATTCAGTAACCTTTTTTTTTACAACACACACACACACACACACACACATATATATATATATATATATATATATATATATATATGAATAAACATTTTAATAGTGATTATGCATATATATTTTAACTTTTTAATTTGGATTTATATATATATATATATATATATACAGTTTTTAATATTGAAGATATATATATAGTTTTTAATATTGAAGATATATATATAGTTTTTAATATTGAAGAGATATATATATATACTTTTTAATATTGAATATATATATATATATATATATATGTACCTTTTAATATTGAAGATATATATATATATATGTACCTTTTAATATTGAAATATATATATATACATATATGTACCTTTTAATATTGAAGATATATATATATATATACATATATGTACCTTTTAATATTGAAGATATATATATATATACATATATGTACCTTTTAATATTGAAGATATATATATATATATATATATATACATACTTTTTAATATTGAAGATATATATATATATATATATATACACATATATATATATATATATATATATATATATATATATATATATAAAAGTTAAAATATATATATTTTAACTTTTTAGTATTGAATATATATATATGTGTGTGTGTATTTAATTTTGTCGATTAACCACAGTGCAATATTTCTTAGAAAGTAGTCTGTCATACATATTATTCTCGCCATTGCTAAGACACATTACCCAAACCTAACTGTGCTTACATCCACTGTTTGGTTTCAGTAAATGTTCAGTATGCAACAATAATTGCTTGTGGCTGAAATTTTGTTTTCATGAAGGAGTTCAATAATACACCTCATTTTTGTATGTTCTTTCATGTCATGTTACTAGCTGCTTTCATTCATCTGCTTTTTTAAGGTCCCCAAAATTATGAGTAATTAGGTTAAATCTCTGCTACCATATTACTGAAATATGCTTCTTGGGAAACATAATACAATAAGTCATGAGAATGTTGGAATGTCCGTTGTACATTTGTTTTTTACTTGTTTGTTTATTGTTTTTTTTATCTGATAAAAATCCCAGATCATGCCAGGTACGTTTACTAGTACATAAATGTAGTGAGGCTTAAATGAATAGAGGAAATTTGTTTAGGAATCTCATAGAACATAGATTTCCCTCTCAACTATGTAAGAATTTGGTCTGTTCATTGTGAGAAAAAAACTCGTTGCAGCAGGTCTGATTTGCAGTAGCCTGAACTCGTTGATCTATTGCATCAGCGTCTCTCCTCACAATTGTCAGCATTAAATCTCCATGCAATTCTGTTTTGCATTTGCAGATTGAATCAGCCATTAATCAGGTCTCTGACTGCTTTTGTCCACAAAGTAAAATCATCCAGTTTTGCTTCTTTTTGTTATTTGAGATGTGCAGCTATCTGCTTGATACAGCACAGGAACTTGGTTTTAAAATATTTCAAATCATTTCAGAGAAGATGGCAGGTTTTGTAATTGAAATGCAACATTAACCAATGCTAAAATAAACATTCATCCATATATATATATATATATATATATATATATATATATATAAATTAATATAAAATACTGCACTGTGAGTGTGCTTGATGTATGAGAACAGAGTTATAATCTATATCAGTGGTTCTCAACCGGGGTCTACATGGACCCTAGGGGTCCATGTAATATTTCCGGGGGTCCACAGGCAAAACTCAATTGTTGTGTTAATTAAAAATAGTAATAATAATTATTATTATAATTATAGTAGAATATTTTATTTATATTAAATTAGTTTTCATTTAAAAATAAAGCTTCATCGTATACTATTTCTTTGATAATTAAAACCTTAAAATTTATATTAGTGAAGAAT